CTAAAGAAAATATTGTACTTTTGGACTGTTGAAAGCAGGTTCCCATACACAGTATACCTTTAAAACATATTTGAAGCACAATTGTCTCCTCAAAGAATTCTGGGCACTGTAGTTTATCCCTCACAGAGTTAGAATTCCCAGCAGCCCTTCACAAACTGGTGTGCCCAGAATTATTTGAGGGACAGAATGTGCTTTGAATGTGCTTTTATGGTGTAGTATGTATAAACCCTAAAAACTGCACTGAAATAGACTGTTTTGAATGCTATTTGCTGCATGTATCTTTCTCAGGTTGCAAGCTACTCTTGAAACACTTCTTCATTACTGTTGTTACACACTTACTTTAGGAATTCTATCTTCAGTGATTAACGTATGACTCATTCTTCCTTTCATTTATGGCTTCTTGTTTTTCACACTTTTGGAAAACCACACAGTTTTTTTGACTGTTTCCCTCTGCTTCCTTCCTCAAATCAGTAACATGGTTTAACACTGTTCTTTTAATTTCTAATCCTTGAGGATTCTTTAACCAATTTCTAGATTCCTTTCCTCATCAAAATAAAGCTGAAGCAAAGACTCATAATTTCAACAGCTCCACCAGCTTTCAAATAACAGATTTGTAGCCCTTATCAACATAAGCAGTTTGCCGTTATTAGAGGAGGCATTTAGGACACTTCCAGGCTGTTGCTGTTTCGGAGTGGAATTCAGTGACATGCTGGCAAATTCATATTGCACAATCATAGTTGATTGGGATGTCTTGCAAAACATGCCCACTTCGCCAAAATATTGGATTTATTATTATTATTATTGCAATAAGGAAAGTGATGGGGAGATGCATTGGAAAGTTGCATGATAACATTCGCTTTAACACAATGCCATTTAACCTCCCAGCAAACAAATCAGGACAAATGTTCAATAAACAGGTTATCTGGAATCACCTTTATTTTATTGTGGTGACCATGAAGACACTACCTTCATCTACTATCTCAAAACCAATGAGAAACATGGGATTGCTGAACAGCAAACTCACAGTATGCAGTTTATGGGGTGCAATTATAAGACAAAGAGGTTCCGGGGCACATTCGATACCACTGATTCCCTGAACCGCTGAAAATTTCAGCCCTAAGAGGCAGGGCCTGCAATTTGGGAGAGGAAGGGACTGTTACACAGGCCACTTGCCATGTGGACTTGTATGGACTGGCCTGGTTTTCTTTTGGCAAGGAACAGATGCAATAAATTATCATATCTGAGCTATGAGAGGTGGGGGGAGGGAGGAACACTGTCAAATGGATAAGGAATACATATAAACCACACTAAACTTGAAGGAGCTTCATAGGTTCAGTGCCTGTACAGACTTTCATTTGTAACTGCTGACATCCCGTTTCCATTGTGGCACTTTCCACATCTGATTCAGCAGACCTTTTGTATAAGCTGTGTCTGCTAATGAGCATAACTTTTAGGAAAGTATCCCTTCAGATTCCAATTCCTTCGGTTCCCACTAAGAGTTGATGCTATTTCCTGTGAGAGAGGTTTTTTTTAAAAAAAAATCATAATCATAATTTGAAACTATTCAAAGCTCAAGAGGAGGAAGGAGTAATTTAAAGTATTGATTATTCAATATAAAACTGAATAGTGTAATTTCCATGACTAACAATAAAGTTGGGATGAGCTGGAAACTTATAAGGAAAGCTTCCTTGAAATGATGTGACATAAAGAATATTCACCAAAGAATTTCTCACAGGGTTTTACTGAGCTCCGGAGGGGCTCTCTGCATGCTGGTTTTGAATCTGGAATTACTAGAGCATATTTCTTCTACAAAAACATTGAAGGTTTCATAAATCTACTTTCATTGGTCATCTGTGAAATCCTGAGGTGGGCATTTTTAGAATAGCTTCCCTAATGGGAAGGAAAGAATTTCATTAGGCAGACTTGGGTGGAATCTACATATGTATAAATGTTCTGAAAATGCTTTTTTAAAAAAGCGTTTTTAAAAATACATTGAATTTTTCATAAGGCTCACCATCACATCTAGTGTCACATTGGATATTGCACTTAAAACACACTTAAAACGTTTTATTTGCAGCTGTATAGCTGAGTCCTTATACACATTTAAGAAAAGCACTTTATTTTTATTCAGTTTTATTCTGTTTCATTCTGTATGAAAGACAAACATACAGTAAGAAGTAATAGTGACAAACACGTGTATTTGGCATAGTTCAATCTCTCCCTTTAACTACAATGGAAGGAGGCGGGGAAAGAAAGAAGGAAGAACTGAACTCAGCTCTCTTCCATCCTGGCCATAGTGAGCTGGCAGAGCTTCAGAAGTGATGTTAGCTCCATCACAGATTCACCACCACCACCACAAGACAGCTCTGCAAGAGTGTAACTAGATGAAGATTTCATTTTAGTTATTTTTCTCAAGTGTGTCACCAAACCTCCTGAATGCTCCTAATGCTAATTAGTTGGGGAAAATTTATACAGCATGCTTTCAATCTTGTAGTGCTCCAGTAATGTCAAGTGTGTTTTAATCACAGGCATAAATAATGAGAATATAATGTTTTGAAAGCTTCCATGAACAGTGCTGATGTGGAGGAAGGGAAGAAACCTGCAATAATAAAGCACTAGATCTTCTTGAATGTGAGTCGGGGGTGGGGGGGAGTAGGGACGGTTTGTATGTATTCTTTTTAACAAGTAAGCCCACTTTATCTTGCATGTGCAGTAGCAGCTGGCAGGGTGGTTGTAGAAGGCAACATTGCTTACCTGGCTTCTCAAAGCCATGCATTGCTGCTACTCACCAAAAATGAGAGGGCAAAAGTGGCTGGAAGTCCTGGTTTGGGCCCCAGATCAGAGGGGGCCACACACAACCCTAACATATACAGTATATATCTTTCTTTTTGGGAGAAAGAGTAATATCTGCCTAAAAGCAATAAAAAAAATTATGCCATCTGCACTTTCGGGCTTCAGTTTGTCAGAACTTAAAAATGTGAAGCATAGTTTGAGCCTAAGATGTGAATTGGAAGATGTGTAAACTTTTATAAAATAATAATATAGGACAATCAGGATTGCATATCCAGCCATCAGGTATGGATTCTTTTGTTGCGATTCCTGCATTTCAGGTGGTTGGACTAGATGACCCTTACGATCCCTTCTGACTCTACCAGCTGAAAACTGGTTTGCACACACATGCATTGTTGTTCTGTTAAACACACACACACACACACACACACACACACACACACACACAAACTTGAAGGATTGGGTATTTAATAAGTGAAACTGAATGAAAAAGCCCCCAAACAAATTACAGTGGAATTAACAAGGATGTTAAGGGACGCGGGTGGCTCTGTGGGTTAAACCACAGAGCCTAGGACTTGCCGATCAGAAGGTCGGCAGTTCGAATCCCCGCGACGGGGTGAGCTCCTGTTCCTCGGTCCCTGCTCCTGCCAACCTAGCAGTTCGAAAGCACGTCAAAGTGTAAGTAGATAAATAGGTACCGCTCTGGCAGGAAGGTAAACGGTGTTTCCGTGCGCTGCTCTGGTTCGCCAGAAGCGGCTTAGTCATGCTGCCCACATGACCTGGAAGCTGTATGCCGGCTCCCTCGGCCAATAAAGCGAGATGAGCGCCGCAACCTCAGAGTCGGTCACGACTGGACCTAATGGTCAGGGGTCCCTTTACCTTTACCTTTACCTAACAAGGATATTACAATGTTGAAAAATATGATGTTATATAAATATGATGTTGTATGATGTTTTTACAGGACCTTAGAATGTGGACCCATTCCAGTGACTTTTCCCAGGTATCTATGTCCTTCACCAGATGTCAATAAAAACTATAGTTTTGGCCACCTTCTAAAGTAGGACTCACAGCTGGGCTCTTGAGGAGCTCTTGAGGCAGCAGTACTTGATAATTCTCCTATTGACTCAACAGAACTGCCTCATTCATATTCTGAATATATGAAAATTGCACCTGTAACGCAGCTCTAGCCTGGTAGGAGCAGGTGTAAATAGCCAGGCAGGAAATGCTACCAAACCACCAAAGATCGGCAAAATGTGTTCAACACTACACTGCTGTCTTTGTGCTCTGGCTAACAAAGTTGTACACAGATATGCAGCCACAACAAGCACATACAGCCCTGTTCTCACTGACTGACTGGAGTAGTAAGATTATGCTGGCAGGACCTGCTTCACTCTCTGCATTCCTACTGCCTGGAACCCAGATCGCTGAACCTCCAGACAAAGTGAGAATAGGCTCTTCACACATACAACTGTATGCACAACCATCCAGAGCCTCTGTGGCTCAAACTGGAAACTATTACACCTATACCTGCCCAATGAGGTGACCCACCGTACTGTGTATTGCAGCAGCTGTAAAGGCAGTTTAGTAGCTTCAGGGCCTGGGCTGAGCCCACCTACCCACAATGGTCTTTATATCCTTCTGGAGAAGAAGGATAAGAGAGCTTCCTGTTCCAGTGAAGCCTGCCTTGATCAACAAGGCCTTCCTTAGCTCCTGGGTATTCCTTTATCCTTTGTTCCCAGCTTGCTTCTCAGTATCTCTTGATTTATGCTTTTTCCCAAGTCCTGGCTTTATCCTAGTGCATCTGAAACTGTTGCCCATAGCCTAGCCCTCACAGCAGTTAGGTGTGAACTATGCACATATCTTCATTCAGGCAAGATTCATTTAAAAAATGTGCAAACTCCATCACCACAGACAAATTTCAGGAATAGGTCTAAGAGAATAGTGATAGTTTAAAGGGAGATATGTGGATAAGGTGGTTTGAAGGATCCATATACAGGTTTAAGAGGGGTCATGGGCAAAGTGGTCTCTGGTGAACAACCCTTGTTCCCTGGAGGCTTACTGCCAGTCAGCTGGGCCTGGACACTATTTTCATTTAGCCCAATACCTCTTATGTAGCATTGTTTTGGGGCATTATGGGAAGTTAATGTGGAGCCCAGACCCAACTTCCAGATGCTGCTCAGAATACAAGGCTGGGGGGAAGCATTTTTAAGGGTTCAGGAGCGCAGTGGGTCAGTGCATCTGGCTGTTAACCTGAAGGTTGGTGGTTCGAGCCCAACCAGGGTCAGCTGTGGGCAGAATTCCTGTATTGCAAGGGGTTGGACTAGATGACCCTCTGGGTCCCTTCCTACTCTACAATTCCATGATTCTAAGTTCTCCAAGGATGTGAGGTGCTGATGACAGGCCTGTCTTTACAGTGCTGCTGCAATTACAAACACTTCAGTTGCAATGTATTTTGAGAAACATAACTGCCAGTGACACTTACAGAAATGAAACTAAAAACTGTTAACATGAAAGAAAGAAAATGTTTTGTTAATCCAAACTGTGCTTGATGGAAAACTTCTGATTTATGTAGGTTTCATCCAAGCAGTGATCAAAAGAAGAAATACCTCCATCCTGGAAAACAAATTAGGAGAACTAGTTTTAAAGCTTTTATAAGTAGTAGCTGAGTGCGCTTCTGAAATTAATATTTTTCTCTCTCTTAAAAAATTAAAATATTCCTTCGGTATGACTCCTCATTAATTGTGTTCATTACACATGGGCTGGTTGTGAGAGTGCATCTATAAGGGTTGTTTGGAGTGACAACTCTTGAATTCAAAGGGACTAAAAATATGGCTGGCTATCATTTCAATAGATCTGGAACCATTCAAACAATTTCTACACAGGCAATGTAATCTTCCTCCAAGGTTTAGTCCCTGCCAGGTTTACGCTGATGTCAGACACAATCGCATCTAGATAAGCAGCAACATCTTTGCATGTCCAGGCTCACTGAGACATAAGACCCAAGAAGCCATTCATTGCTGGCCAGTGCTAAAAACCACTTGATCTGACAGTAGCCAGACAATATACCGCATTAGGTTTATCTGTCTAATGCAAAGCCAGTGTGGTTTAGTGGTTAAGAGCGGTAGACTGGTGCAGCTCGTAGACTGGTGAACCGGGTTCGCGTCTCCACTCCTCCACATGCAGCTGCTGAGTGACCTTGGGCTAGTGACACTTCTTTGAAGTCTCTCAGCCCCACTCACCTCACAGAGTGTTTGTTGTGGGGGAGGAAGGGAAAGGAGAATGTTAGCCGCTTTGAGACTCCTTCGGATAGTGATAAAGCGGGATATCAAATCCAAACTCTTCTTCTTCTTCTTCGGAAAGGCTAGTCGCAACCAGCTCTTCACTCATTCTTGTAGAGAAAGTAAACTAATCCATGTGGAAATTAAACTTGGTGGCAGATCTTGCTAGCCATTTTACATGACTAGCCAAATGGCAAATCTGCCCTTTCACAAGATGCCATGATTGCTGATATCCTGGAAGCATGGTGTGGTTTGGCCCAACCCTAGGTAACTATGTGCCTGACTAAAATAAGGGTTATCTAGAGTAGCACTGAATTGATTACAGGAGTATTAAAGTTATGCGGGCTTTAGTATTGCGTTGCTGTTCTGTTATGACATAGCTCACAGCTATGTAACAGAATGGGCAATTATAATCGTAGCTTGGCAAACATTAAAACTATATGAAGAAAATGCTCTTAGCTTCACAGTGGGGGTAAAAAGGAAAAGCTAAGGCCGTGTTATTCGCTTTGTTTGAAAAATGTAAGCAGCATCTTTCAGGGTCACATTCATAAGACAAATTGCACATGAGATTTTCAATATGTCATAGAAAAAGAATAGATCCCAATACCTTAAAGAGAAGCTTTTGAATGGATTGTATGATCTGAGAATTTATAACCCTGCTAATAGAATCTTCTCCACACAGTAATGGAAACACATTGCTCAAACAGGAAGAAGTATTTGTTTTCAAACTTTCTAAGCACGCCATCAAACCTGAAGTAGCATCACTTCTCATGCTTTCAAAGTAGGATATTAATACATGCAGCAAAAGATTTATCCGAAAAGACCAGCACCCATCCAGTCTGAATGCTCTTCTCCCCGCAATCATTGGAGTGTGGGGACTTGGTAGTTAGTAAGTGATAATGAAAATGCACTCTGCATCTCCTCAGGAGCACTCTTATTTAGTGTGCTCCATAATTGAGCCCTACAATAAGTTCTGCTCTACCAACATGGTATTGCATCTATACCGTATATTTAAGGCAAGTGGCTTCCCCAAAGAATCCTGAGAGCTGCAGCTTGTAATGGGTGGTGGGAAATGTAGCTTTGTGAGCTGCAAACTACAGTTCCCAAAATTCTTTGGGGGAAAACCATATGCTTTTAATGCATGGTGTGGATGTGTTAAGAGTTGAAAAGGATTTGAAAGAAACACCAGTCCAACCCGCCCCCCCGGCTCAGTGCAGGACACAATCCTTGACAGATGGCAGTCCCACCTCTGTTTGAATGCCTCCAGTCATTAAACGCACCCTGTATCTGTAAGACTGATGAGACAGTATGCTGCTAGATACACACACTCGCTTTTCCCATGCAGTTAAAATGTGCTTAAGATGGAGGGGGAAAGACTTATAAATGGCGGGCCAGGATGGGTGTGTAGCCACTTAGTTTTGCATAAGTACATATGGCAGAAATGGGCTAATAATGATTATGCTAATATTAGTACATTTTATCTCATTTATGCATACACAGAAGCAGCAGGGGAAGGTATCAGCCCCTATAAAATAGCCATGAAGAATTGAAGTTGCTTCTCTTAACTGCTTTAAAAAAAAACAAAAAAACCAAAACCCACACTTCTTGTTCTCCGTAATATATTGGCACCGTTACAATTAATAGTCTGTTTGAATCTCCATTAAACCTTCCAGAGGTTTACAACTCAGGCATAAAATTTCACTCTGGGCTGAAACTTGTTATCTAAAGTCTCAGCCCAGAAGCTATGCTTTTTTAAAACAATTTGTTTCATTAAACAATTTGCCTTTAACTGGAAGCCTTTCATTTTCAATTAATTTCAAGCCGTGTGATGTGTATTCCCTCAATCTGGTACTGCACACTCACAAAAAAAATCAATTTGAAAGCAAGTGGAATAGCACATATGGGTTCGGGGGGGGCAGTGTTGGGTGTTGGCTTGGAAAAGGCTATGGAAGGCAGTTCAAAGGAAATGGTGTATTAGCCATGCGCTGGAAGGAACCTCTTGTTGGATTGCCCTAAAAACCACAAGGATTGTCTAGCCAAAGTTCAACACTGTGGAATCCCCTTTATTTCAACATAAGCGAGTTAACAGACGCACCATTTGTTCACTGACGTCAGAGGGACAAGTGCCGAACTTTGGCTGGTTAATGTCCAGGAAAGCATGATCTAGATGTCATATAGAAGTTGCTCAGAAATGGGCAACTAGAGTACAAGCACAGAAGCTGCACACGTAAGAAGAGAAGAAGAAGAAGAGTTTGGATTTGATATCCCGCCTTTCACTCCCTTTAAGGAGTCTCAAAGCGGCTAACATTCTCCTTTCCCTTCCTCCCCCACAACAAACACTCTGTGAGGTGAGTGGGGCTGAGAGACTTCAAAGAAGTGTGACTGGCCCAAGGTCACCCAGCAGCTGCATGTGGAGGAGCGGAGACGCGAACCCGGTTCCCCAGATTACGAGACTACCGCTCTTAACCACTACACCACACTGGCTCTCTGTATACTGTAAAAAAGGAAAGAGCTTCTGCTCTGGTGTCAGGGCTGGAGTGTTGGACTAGGACCAGTCAGGGACCAGGTTCAAATCCTTGCTCCATCACAAAACTTACCCTTGGATGACCACGCTCATCCAGTTGTTGTGAGGATGAAATTGGTGGGAGTGGGGAGAACCAGGTATACTGTCCTGAGCTTCTTGGAGGAAGGGTGGGGGAAATATGTAATCAATGCAATAACAGAAAAGATAATTCAGATGGGCAAAAGTGCCTTGTTGAGTTCCAGCCCCTGCAAGTAGCTGATCACCGCCACATAGGCTCATGACTGTGCTAGTTAGACTTTCCATCCATGTGAGCATCTGAAACCCCACCTGCTCCTTCCCCCACCAGCATTTAGAACGGCACAATGACCTCCCCATACGCTGTTCACCCCACCCTCCATTACTGTCTTTCACATGAGATGTGATTGGTTTGGAAACGCATCATTCAGCTTATCAGACACTTGATCCCCAATTCCAAGTTTTAAAAGAACTCAACCCTGAATGTTTAATATCGTGTAACAAGAAGAGCGGCGAGACTTGGTGGTGTTTCACCAGTACTCTATTATAATTTTTTAAAATAAGATAAATGTTTTCTTTACTTAATAAATCGTCCCTTATTTCTTTTCTTTCAAGCAGTTGGAGGTGATGGGATTTATTGTGTCATTGGATATAGTAGCGTCAGTCTCTCATTTCACCACAGTAAATAGAATTTTTGATTACATCGCTGCAGGAGTTCATTCTTGTCATTGCACCTAAGTAGCAATATGTATAGGAGGCAGAAACAACAGGCAGTTCCCCACCTCCTCTCATTTTTAAGAGAGAGTGAGAAATTCTCTCTTGGGATAGGATATTCTACTTCTGCAGGGAACTTTCCACTAACCATTTCTGAAATATGCATTTCATTTTGAAGGTGTTCAGAAATCATCAATGCACAACAATGTTATAACGATTACCGTAAATGCAGGCAGTACTGTATGTGCAAACATCATTTTTTGGTGCTTACCCTTGTTTTGCCTTCCACAATATTGCTCTCTGCTAGAAATGCCCCATCTCTTGATTATCTCTAGATACTGGTGGTGGCGGCAGAGAAAATGAGAGATGGGTAGTAATCGAATAGAATGCTTGCATGAGATTTGACGGGTTAAAAGCAGGTAAGTAAAAAATGAAGGCAGCCTTTTAAGTGTGAAAGTGAAGAGCAGAGAAGGCTCTGCTTAATAGAATACAACAGCTGCCTTAACCCAGGTCAGGTTAGTCATCTATTCAGACCAGCACTGTCCAGCACTGTCTTTCAAGGTATTTAGGCAGAGTTTGTTTCCATCAACAGTTATGTGATATTTTCAACTGGAGATCCCAGGGACCGAGCCAAGGACTTGTTCCATTCAACTTCTCCTCATTCATACTCAGGGGTGCCAACTTGAATAAAATATGGGGGGGGGGGCGGGGAGGTAAGCTCTGCCCCGCACAATCAGTCACATGATACAGTGT